TCTGCTTCTAGCTGAGTTCATCTGGCCCTCCTCTGGTCTCCTTTAGCCCTTGATATACCCATTCTCCCAAATCTAATATCCACCAGAATACACAAATAACTCTTAGAACTCAACAACAGAAAGTCAAATAACCCACTTCGAAAGTGGGCAAAGGATTTAAAAACAGACATTTTCCCGAAGAAGATACACAAATGGCCAATAAACACATAAAAAGATGCTTAACATCACTAATCATTAGGGAAAGGTGATCAAAACCAAAACAATGCCACCTCATGTCCAATAGCGTAGCTACTATCAAAACCAAAACAAAACATAAAACAAAAAATAACAAGCGCTGGCAGGGGTGTGGAGAAACTGGAACCCCTGTATACTGCTGGTGGGAACAGAAAACAGTGCCGCCGCTACGAAAAAACAGTATGGCAGTTCCCCTAAATATTAAACAGAATGACTCAGCAATTCCACTTCTGGATATATACCCTGAAGAAGTGAAATCAGGGACTTGATCAGATATTGGTAAACCTGTGTTCATAGCAGCATTATTCCTAACAGCCAAAAGATAGAAGCAACCCAAGAGTCTATCGACAGATGAGTGGATAAATGATTATTCAGCTTAAAAGAAAAATCTGGACGCATGCGACAATATGGATAAACCTTGAAGACATGATGGTAAATTAAATGACCCAGGCACAAAACGACAAATATTGTTTGATTCCACTTATATGAAGCACTTATAGTACACTTCAAATTCATACAGCAAGAGGGGCGCCTGGGTGCCGGGTGGCTCAGTCGGTTAAGCATCTGCCTTTGACTCAGGTCATGATCCCAAGGTCCTAGGATCCAGCCCCATGTTGGGCTCCCTCCTCAGCTTCTCCCTCTCCCTCTGCCACTCCTGCCGCTTGTGCTCTCTTGCTCTCTCTCTGTCAAATAAATAAATAAAATCTTAAACGAAACAAAACAAAAACCACAAGAAATTCATACAGAAAGAAAGTAGAATGGTAGTTGCCAGGGCAGTGGGGAGGGGAAAATAAGATGAAAAGAGTCCTGGAGATGGACTGTAGTGACGGCTGCACAATGTGAATATACTAAATACCACTGATTTCTACACTTAAAAATGGTAAATTTTCAGGGGAGCCTGAGTGGCTCAGTTAAGTGTCTGCCTTTGGCTAAGGTCATGATCCCAGGGTCCTGGGATCGAGCCCCATGTCAGGCTCCCTGCTCAGTGGAGAGTGTGCTTCTCCCTCTCCCTCTGCCCTGCTTGTGCTCTGTCTCTCAAATAAATAAAAATTTTTTTAAAAAGTTAATTTTCTGTCACACATATTTTGCCACAATTTTTTTTAAAACTCTAATATGCAAAACTTTATACTGTGTCTCTTACTAGTAAGTACATCACTGTGTAACTCTTGACATCCCTGACAGCAGCCAACACAGTCGTTTACCATAGATGGGAGTCCCTTTATTCGTCAGCCATTTTGTTACCATGCTAACAAATCAACAAAGGGACTGGAGTATCTGTGCACATGCATGTGTAGGAAGTAAGGTTCCATGGCAACATCTTTTTTGCCCAAGCCTTCATTCTTCCTTAAAGGAAGTCAAAGAAGGAATGGATGGAGGTGGCCTCACCTTGAAGGAAGCTTACTAAGTACTGGGTTTGAGCCCAGTTTGTGTGTAAATCTTTTTAAAAGAAGATTTATTTATTTGAGAGAGAGAAAGAGCGTGCAGGGGAGGGGGGAGAGGGAGAGGGAGAGAATCTCAAGGAGACTTCCTGCTGAGCGTCGAGCCCAACGTGGGGCTCAGTCTCACTACACTGAGATCATGACCTGAACTGAAATCAAGAATTGGACACTTAACTGACTAAGCCACCCAGGCACCTCTGTGTGTAAATCCTTAACTGGCCTAGAGGCCAAAAGACACAGTATCTCCTTAACCCCCAAAGAATACTACCCTCTGGCTCCTACGTTGGGGAAAAAAAACTGAGACCTGGGCACTTATGTTACTCTCATTTCTCCTTCTCCCCACTGGACAATCTCACCAAGGGAAAACTTTTCTTATGGGGTCTCTCAGACATATCTAACAGCATCAGCTTTCAGGTAATAATTTACCATTACTGTACCTTACCTTACCTTCACTTTCAGAAAGGATCTTCATGCATTTAACAAACATTTCTTAGCCCTCTGCCACCTTCCAGGCCCTGTGCCAAACCAGTGTGCACAAGATAAACACAGTCCCTACCGTTAATGAGCTGACAGTCTAATGAAGAACTGTCCAGCAGAAATAAAATAAATAAAAACCACACAAGTCATTTAAAATTTTCTAGTAGCCATGTTTATGAGTAAAGACAAAAGGGTGAAATTAATTTCAATAACATATTCATTTAACTCAGTCTACCCAAAGAATTATCATCTAGGTATAATTAATATTTAAAAAATTAGAATATTTTACATTCTTTTTCCTGTTCTAAATCTTGTCAATCTAGTGTATATTTTATAGTTAGAGTATAACTCTGTTTGGACTAGCCACATTTCAAGTGCTCAATGCCAGGCATGGCCAGTGGCTACTGTACTAGACAGCACAGGACTAGTGTGTCTCAAAATAACCGAGAACAACCAGGATCATGGTCTGCCTCACATTTACTAGGTGGGGTGGGGTGGGAGTAACGGGAAAGTGAATGAAGGAATCTAAAGGGGCTTACCCGTCAAAGGAAGAGCTGGTGCAGTCATATACCATCTCCCGGTTACCCTTCATCTGAAGGTATGCATCACAATTGTCACAACCATCATATTCAAACTGGTCTATAGTCTGGGAGGGGGGACAAAGGGGGGGGTAGGGGTGAGTGTAAACAAGGCCAAAAGAAAAACTAGCTCTCTCCATACTTCTACCTAGTCAAGTAGAAGGCTCCCCCCCCATGCTGGCTCTGTCTCATCAGGTTCCCCACGCCCCACTCCCACAGCTCCATTCCTAAAGTTCCACCCACCCTCACAGTCCTCCCTCTCTTGTTCCTAACTGCGTTTTACCTAGTCCTCTCCCTGGTCTCCTCGGGGCCAGGCATCCTCTCCGACTACTCCCCCTCAGCTGCAGATCACCACCCTCATCTGACTCCCAGTGGCCTTCAGCTTCAACAGAAGTTCGCTGAACGTCTGTTAAGGATCAGACCTGTGCTAGCTGAGGATTCAAAGGCATGTAAAGACTGCCTGCGTTCCTACAGACTTAAACAATGGCCCCCAGCAGCTTCCCACACCCCTCGCCAAACCCGGGGTCCTGGACCTTAATTTTCTCTTCGCTATCTCCCAGCCCCGTTCCACCTTTTCCCCCATCTGGATTCCCCCATCGCCCCTACAACCAGCCCCCCGAAGGACACCTTGACCAACGAACACAGCAAACAAGCCCGCAGATGCCGCAGGTCCTTCGGCACCGTCTCCAGGGCCATCCTCTCCGACAAAAGAACAGCAAAGGACTGGGCCACAGATTCCTCAGCCGCAGGAAGTAAACAGCGAATTACCCAGAACGCCTTCCACTTCCGGTGTCTAGGACTTCCTCTTCCGGTGTGGGAAGCCGCAGGGCCCAGCCCTCCCCCCCCCCCCCCCCCCCGCCTAAGGAGATGGTTTCTCCCGCCTGGAGGCGGGGCCGGCCGGGAGTCACCTGGGCCGGCGCGCGCACCCGCCACCTGGGCCGGCGCGAGGGCGAGGCCGTGGCGGCCGTTGGGCCTGTGGGCAGGGCCCGTGGGGGAGGGGCGGTGCGGCTGGCGCCTGCGCGAGAACGCGCCGCGGCCGGAGCCGGAAGCCCGGCGGGGCGGGCCGTTTGATGTAGGCGGCTGGCCGCTGGTCGCCGGTCCCCTTAGGAGGATCCCACATGCCAGCCGAGATTCTTTTTTGTCTTGCCGTTTTAAAAGCGCAGGGCCAGAGGGTCCACTGTCTCCCTCTGGGTTATCTCTGCCGAGAGGGAAAGAAATCACGGACAGCCCCTTTCTTCCTGAGAGCAGGATAGGGTTTCCATTTGCCGTCCGCCGGAATGCGGGCTTGTGGGCCGGTGGCGCGTAACAGGCATATTTAATTATTTTTTAAAACTCTTTACGTACTTTCCTTGTTCCAGCTGATTATTTAGGCTTTGTGCAGCGTTTAGCATTTAGACAGTTCCTTTACTTGAGAACATCTGTAGGGGATAGGAGAGTGTGTCTTTTTTTTTTTTTTTTAATTTCACCTTATAGAAAACTAGATGCTCCTTTGCTCTGTGGTTCAAAACTGGGCAACGGACAATGACCACCCCTACGAAATCTTTCGTGGAGAAGCAGAAGGGAAAATGTGCTTTGTGAGGATGGGAGCAAAGACTGCCCCAGGCTCTGTGGAATTCATACCAACTTAGCACCAGCTCTTGATCCTCACAGTAGTCGCACGAGTAGGCAGAGCACAGTCATTTGTGTTTATCAGAACTGGAGCTCTGGGATATAAATAGTTTCAGGCCCTGCTGTTCTATCCTCCCAACCAGGCCTCCCAACTGACACAGAGCTTCTTCAAGGGGGGGCCTGCTTCTTGTGCCCATGCCATGCTGTGTTCAGATGGGCTCTGTGACTGGGGTTAGAATGTTCTCCAGCACTGGATACTTTCCACCACCAAACATGCTTTCACTCTTATCTCAGGGGAGCCCTGCAACAACTCTGTGAAATAGGCCTATTTTATGGGTGGAAAAAGTGAGGCATAGAGTATTTACCAAAGGTCAAAAAGTCACCGAAGCATCACAAATAAGAGTGTGAAGTAAAAGGTAGAATAATACAGATAACGACTGGACCACAGAATCCAGTCATGCTTTCCCCCTTCCCTGATCTCACTAAACTATGCTTTTAGGGGCTTACAAACCAATTCTTGTTGCCTAGCCCACCACTCTGTCCTATCCTTTCATAAATCAGAGCCTAACTTCTGATATCAGAAATAATTTACTTCTGTCAATGTAGAAGATGAAACTGTTACCCTGAGTAACCGTCATAACAGAACAAAACCACGAGACCAGACTGCATTTATGGATAAATATATTAGCAAATAAATACATTTCTCAACATAGTGCCTGATTCAAGCGTCTTTCTGTCTGGTTCAGATATAAATACCCATGTGGGTGCCTAGGTGCTAGTTCCCCACTGACTTTAAGGGAAGAAGTTTCCCAGGTAGGGTCCTGTGCCCACTTAGCTCCCACATTCACATTCCAAATGGGATAATGCCTGAGGAGCCGGCAATAGTCCAGCTGCCCTGGGGTGAATGTTACCCTCAGGAGGCTCCTCGGCCCTTGCCCACTCGGGTACCAGCTACCCGGGCCAGATGTCCTGCATGCACAACCTCTTGCATGCACACCTTCCTGGGTGTCCCTGGCCTGTATGGCTTATCATGGGAAGCTGGGCCTTGGAGCCATCTAAACCCAATTGTCCCACTTTGCTTTTCCTTTGTTTTCCCCTGTTCCTCATCCCTGCTCTGGGAAAACTCCCAGAGAAGAATTCGTTGTTGTCCTTGGTCAGCTGTAATTCTGTCTTTTCTACCTTCGTTCCATCCTCCCTCTTCTAGATGCAGTCCAGCAGAAATCCTCTTCTTTCCACCTACTTTGGGGCTTTGAGATAGGTAATCTCCAGGAAAGAATTTATTCCCTCCCCACTACCCCCCAGCCCCCAGAGGAATTGGGGCTGCTGGAGTGACGAGGGAGTTTGAAAGTCAGAGGCTTCATCCCAGGTTCTTCAGGGTGCAGTACCACTTTAGGGACAGAACTCCACACCCTGGCTTCCCAGAGCCTCCCCTCTGACTTAATATAGTGGATCTGACAATTAAGGACAAGAAGGGAAAAACATTCTCCCTTATGCACCAGGGCAGGTACTGCCTGGAGAAGCTGCGGAGCCTCCCTTTTTAGGGTTCAGGGCTCACCTATGTTCCTGATCCTTTTGCAAAGAAGGGAAATGATAAAAGCTGGGGTTGCTGCTGATGCAGCAGCTTTACCGAGGAGTCAAAGCTGGTGTGCAGGACTCACCCAAGAAAGGAGGTAAGAAGGACCCACTGGCAGGTATGTACATGAGACTTGGGATGAGGAAGACCTGCCGGGCCTGGGGAAAGGAGCAGCACCTTTATAACACTTATCTACCCATATCTAGCTTCCTGTTCTCAAAAAACAGCCTTTAAGGGAGCCAGCCCACATAGGTAGTAGCTGGTTGCCTGGCTGGACACAGACTTTGCCGCACTGCAGATGCATTCTGCACACAAGGTCCAGAGCTGGGAGCAGGGAACACCTGCCACCCACCGTCACCACTCCTCTTCTGGAGGTTCCAGGAAGTCTGGCAAAAAAAGAGGGCTGTTTTCTGAGGTCCTTTCTTCTCTCAGGAGCAGGACTCTGTGCCAGGTAGGGCCCGAATCATCCGGAGCACGCTCTTGGTTGGAGCTAGGTCTGAGCATCTCACACAGCCTGTTCACACAGCTCCTCAATCTCCTCCTCTGAGCCTGCATTTAGAGAAGGGAGGAAAGAGGTCACTGAGGGTCAGGCCAGCCGCCTTCCTGTCCCACCTGCAAAACAGTATGGCTGGGAGAGAACCACAGAGAGGGAGGAGCAGGGAATGTGTCCAGAAGGGGCAATTAGACTGAAAGCTGGGAGGGGCCCCAGGTGGGACACAGGGGAGAGAAAAACAAAAAAGCTAAAGAAAGAGAAACATATATAGCAACCAGTGTTACAAATACTTACTATTCGCTCATTAACCCAATAAATACTTATTAAGCACTTGTGAATCCGGCCTGTTATCATGTGCCAAATAGAAGAATAAGCAGAGACCTGATAATCTTGCAGGAAAGAAGGTGTGCATACAAAGGGAAATTATGCAGTGGGACAGGACTGGATCATAAGACCTTTCCCGGAAAGGGGACAGATCATGTTCAAGTGGAGCAATCAGGAAGGGCTTCCTGAAAGTGAAGATAAATGAGCTGGTCCTGCAGAAATAGATAAGAACTGGATTTATGGGAATAGGAAGACAGCAGAATAGTCTGGGTTATAAGGACTGCAAGAAGTGTTTACTAGGTTTGGCTAAAGCATGGGGCAGGGGAAGGGAAGGGAAGAGTGAAAAATAAAGTGGGGACGGCAGATGGGGGCTAGCTGGTGCTAGAGCCTTGAAGGCCAAACCAGGCTCAGTTTTTCTTTACTGTGGAGAAAACAGAACATGTGGAAATTTCTGGGCAGCTTATTTGAGCAAAATGAGCCTGGCAGCAGCAGGCGAGCAGGGTCACTGTATGTGCAGGGCCCCCCCTTCATAGCCCTGTAAGAGGGGAGGGAAGAGCTAGGAGGCTCCTGCCTTGATCTTTAGGCTGCATCTAAGACGTGGGCAGGGGCCATCAGTTCTGAAGGAGAAGGTAAAAAAGCTCTCAGGGACAGAGTTAACAGAAACTGGCACTGACTGGATTTGAGGAGCAGGGAAGAGGGAGCTGTCGAAACCAGTTCTAAGTACGGGAGAGGTGGGGGTCTGCCTCCAGCAGCCCTGAAAGCACACATGTGACAGGGTCCGAATGGATCGTCAAACACATGGCCAAAGCTTGCTTTGCATGGCTCCATGGAAGCCATGATTTTCTCTACTGTAACTGTGTACATGCCTGTGACCCCATAGACCTGGATCTCCTGGTTGACAAGTTCCATGTCCTCAGAGGCTAGCCTGGAACCTAGCCCATAGTAAGCATCCAATGCAGGAAGAAAAAAGGAGGGAAGGAGTGAATGAATGAATGATAACAGCTCTAGGTCTTGACTGTAGGGTTCCTAGACCGTGAGGTCTTATATTTCAGGACATTTGGGCTCCCTTTTGGGGTGCCTAGTGATAGCTTTAGGCAAAGAGCTTTGTCATCCACACCATGGGAGAAGATGGGGAAAATGGGGAGGGGTGCTCTGGAGGAGGAAGAGGAGCATTTGAGCAAAGAAACACCCAGTTAAAATTGAGGGTTTACATTATCACAATTGGTTGTAGTACAATTATCAGGGATGCACTGAGGCCCCAGGAAAATGAGGCTGGTCTTATTAATATCGGTGCTTAGAAGGAAAGTCTTAGTTGTTCTTTTACCTCAGAGGAAGAGGGGAAACCCTAAAGACCCACAGGGATGCTGGGAACCACCCATGATCTTTTTTTTCTTTTCTTTTCTTTTTTTTTTCTCTTTCTTTCTAATCATTTACATAGCTCTTCTCATATGGCCTAGTGTTATGGATATCTGCAATTATTTCTCCTACAAGACCTCATATTGCCCAGAATTATAGCTATCAGTAATTACTTCTCCGTGCTCTCCTCAAGAGCAAGGAACACTTGTTGGCCTTCTTTGTATTTAAAGCTGATAATTGGGGACACCTGGGTGGCTCAGTCAGTGAAGCACCTGACTCTTGGCTTTGGCTCAGGTCATGATCTTGGGGTCGTGGGACTGAGCCCCACGTCAGACTCTGCGCTCAGCAGGGAGTCTGCTTGAAGATTCTCTCCCTCTGCCCCTCCCCACTCTCTCTCTCTCTCTCTCTCTCTCTCTCTCTCTCTCTCAAATAAATAAATAAATAAATCTCTAGAGCTGATAACTGTGTGCACAGCTTTACTAATTATTACAATACCGAAACACTTACATTGGAGCTGCTGCCTCAAACCACCTAGGTGCTTTCTGATGTTTCGTCCACACGGGCGCTTCCCCTGAGAGCTCCCTCTGGTCTGGCAACTAAAGGACTATCAGCGGGCAGAGTCACAGCACTTCAAGCAGCATCCTATGCTATGCCCGTTGTTCAATATTTTGAATGCTACCCCACTGCCCCACTGCCCCCTTCACAGCTTCTGTCAACCCCTTGTTGGCTGACTTCCCCCAGGCTGCAATTACCTCTGGTATCCTCTCCTCATCACACCCTCTCCCCCTGAAAACTCACCAGGCTGCGCTGGTGGCACCTGGCAGTGTGGGTAAGGGCATGGCCTGCCCTCTGGGGTGCCAGATCTCCGTTCGGAAGGCCCCTCTCCAGGTGGGTGTGGTCCGAGGGACTGGCGTGGTGTCAGACACAGCCACACCGGCTGTGAACTTGAGTAACAAGGGCCTGGGCTTTCTGGTAGCAGCCTCCTGTCCAGGCCTGGAGGTCCAAAGATCAATGGGTGGGCCTCCGGGGACCAAGGGTATGCCAAGCTGGTACTGTAGTGGGGAAAAATCTGGCAAGCTGGGTGTGCAGTCAAGTCCTGGGGCCGAGAGGCTGGGGTGAGCTCTGAGAGGCCCCCCCGCCTTTTCCTTTGTGGGTGTCGAACAGGGAGGCTGGATTTCTGCAAATGGAAGAGGCTGCTGGGACTGGGGTTGGTGGCATCAGCTGGACCTAGGGCTGCCTCCACGAGGGCCCTGGGCCATTGTGGGTTGGGGAGCTGCCCTGAAGGGGCAGTTGGGTTGGATCTGGCAGCTTGCTGATCAGGGGAAGGCGGCTCTGGCTGGGGCTGTGTCCGAGGAATGGCAGGCCTGGCCTGGGAGACCCCAGTTTCTGGGCCAGGCTTCCGGCCATGCCACTGGAAGCGTTTTTTGTAGTGGTGGTGCCGGTGGCGGTGGTAGTGGATGTGGCTGGAAACCTGGGTTTCCCCTGTGGGCACTACTGAGTCCAAAGACCGGGGCCGAGAGGTCACACTAGGCTGAGTCTCCTCCCCCCGGGGCTCCCCTTCCGGGCTGCAGTATACCAAGGGGTCAAAGTCACTGCTCAGGGAGCTGCGGAAGGTAGAGCTGCTGCCGTGGATGCCCTGCAGACTGATGTCCGTGCAGTTGATCACTGAGTCACTTGAGGAGCCGTGACAGGGCCCCGAACTGGAGTCACTGGCGGGCCCATCTGCCATGTAGCCACTGCGTTCTGTGCGATAGCTTTCTCCAGAACCGCTGCTGTCGTGAGGCCTGGCCCGGCGTGGGGGTGCTGGGCAAGCAGAGGGGTGCTGCGAGGTGCCTCGGAGGTGGCTCAGCCCCCAGCCGTGCGCATAGGGGTGCTGGGCCACTGCCAGGTGCTGCTGCTCGCCCGGAGCCCTGGGATGTGCAGCTCTGGGGAGGCGGTGGTGCCGGGGGGCCGCGCCTGGCTCCTGGGACGTTAGGAAGGGACCGGGTCGTGGGGGCCGGGCCACTGCACTCCGGGAAGGGCCCAACAGGTAGGCAGCAGGTAGGTGGTAGTGGGCATGGCCAGGATGCTGGCGAATGAGGTGGAGTCTCCGACCTGGTTCCTGGTAAGATCGAGAGGGTCCCAGGGATTGAGAAAACGAATCTCCCTCTGGAAGAAAGAACCAAAAGCATAGGTGTTTGAGTCCACAAACCTGTGGAAGGTGGCAGCACTACACCTATTTGAGCCCACATAGCCTGCGTGTTCAGTCAGAGTTGGGGGACCAAGTTACACTCCTAATCTGCCTCTGCCCTGGGATGCCCGGTTCCTTCCAGTCAGTCTCTCTCCCTGGGAGTCCACTATGCATGTCCAACCCTGCTCCTCCCACCAGCCCATGTGGGGCTCTTTCACTCAGGGCCACCACCGGCCCGTAGCACACCTCTGGGTGAATTAGAAAAAGGCTCTCTTTCCTCAAGATACTTCACTTTCATCTTTTAGGAAATTCTCCTACTATCCTGGTTTTGTTAGAACAAGATACTTTATTGCCAGAAAACCAGAATTATAAATACACAAACTATCTAGGTTTAGGATCAACAAAGTTGTCATGAAAATACAATTTTTAAAGTAATAAAGAAGTCTACGATGTGAATGGTGCCCCCCTTCACATGAGGCTCTCTTGAACAGTGCACAGCCTAAAGAACTGTTAAGGCAGACCTGCTTTCTCCTCAGCTTCAAGGCAACACCCTCCGTCAGAGGGCAGCCTTGTCCTAGACCCCTCTGGCTGCACACAGGGGACTGCTTGGCCCACCTCCTACCTACGATGTTGAACATGCAGAGAGGGCAAGTCCGATGCTGATGTAGCCAGGGGTCCACACACACGCGATGGAACTCATGGAGGCAGGAAATGACCCGTAGCTCCTGCAGAACACAGGGGGATCCAAACCAAAGTTATCTGTAGCTACAGCCGTAGAACCAGACCTCTCCTTCTTGCCATGACCTTCTTGTAAAATACCACATAGTAGAATAGAAACGGTAAGAGCTTTGGTGTCAGGTAAGCGTGGATTTTTGCCACCTAGCTGCACGACCTTGAGCAAGTTCCTTAACAGATAGTTTTCTGCTCTAATATGAGGATAAAAACTGAATCTACCCCCACCGTGCATTGTCATGAGGCTAAAATGAGATCATGCCTCTACGGCACCCACTGCAGAGCCTGGCACGCGGTATACACTCAACAAGGACTAGTTCTCTTTCCCTGGAAGACCAGGAAAAGAGCCAGACCTCAGGGCTGTCCCCTCCCTCTGCCTCACGCAAGATACACAGGACACAGATGCAACCAGAGCACGTGCAGCGGCCTTCAGTGCCTCACCTGGCCTCCCACGCTCCAGCTTCCCTCCCCAGCCCGGTCACGGAGGGCAAGCACGAGGCCTGCCTTACCTGGCCCTCAGAGAACTCCTCCAGGCAAATGGCACACACGGGGGCTGAGCTACAGCTGCTACTCGAGTCTGGCCATTCAGCCCGAGCCCTCCTGCAGCTGGCCTGGTACCTCCTGGTGGCCAGCTGGCTGATGGCCCAGGCTGTTCGCTGCTGAAGGGGATCCTGGGAAGAGGGGTGGGGCTCAGGATAGGGCAAGGACTCCTCTCCCCTCACCCCTGGACCTCGGTCTGTACTCGGTTCCCAGTCACCCAGTGAGATCACATGGCTGATTGACTACCCCTAGGAGTCTGTCCCCTTGCAGCTCATACGTGGCTCAGCCAAGCCAGCCAAGTCCTCCCACCCCACCACCCCCCATCCATACCATCAAGCTTTCCTTTCCTTGATGGCCCAGGAGAGGTTTTTCATCCAACTGCCTGCTTGACATCTTAACTTGGATATCCAATAGGCCCATCAAACTGAATTTCTAATCCCATTAACCACCCAACAACACACCCATCCTCCCCCCTTAAAATTTAAGTCAGATCATGGTACTACTTCTGCTCAAAATCCTTCTAGTAGCTCCCACTTCACCAGAGTGAAAAAACACAGTCCTGCCAATGGACTCAGCAGTCCAGCAAACTCCTGTCCTCACCTCCTGCTCTGCCCTTTCACTCGCTCTGGGCACATGGCCCCCTAGCTGTTCCGCAGACATACTGGGCACACTTGTGCCTCAAGGCCTTTGCCTCTTCTGTGCTCTCTGTCCGATCACACTCTCCCCAAATATCTGCACATCCGACCCCCTCACCCACTTAGGGTCTCTCCTGTAAATGCCACCCTCACAATGAAGCCTTCTCTGGCTCTGTTTTTACAAATTAACCCTGTCCCTTTACATTCCCTCTTCCTTCTTCTATTTTATTTTTCTCTCTGGCACGTACCACCATCCAAAATACTACATAGTTTATTTATTTTGTTTATTGTCTATCTCTTCCTATTAGAATGAAAGCTCCCTGAGGGATGGGATCTTCTTTTTGTTCACCGGGCTATCGCCAACGCCTGGAACCGTGCCTGGCCCATACTAGGAGCTCTCGCTATTTGCTGAATAAATAAATGACTGGGCAAGCCTATGTGGAGGGGCTGCTGGAGATCAACAAGTCAGATGCCAGGGTACTTAGATGTAAGTGATTTCAAGAGCATAAGGGCACCTTCTTTCCTCCCTTTTCCCTTCCTGCTCTTTACCGCCCCACACCCAGGAACATGCCCACTTCCACCAGGGAGCCCACCCTGCTCACCGGCCTGCTGTGGTGGGGGCGGCACCGGAGACGCAGCACTGAAGCCAGGATGACCACAAAGATGGTGCCCACCACTGTCAGGAGGATCCACACATCGTAATCTGGCTGCGGGGGTGAGCGGAGATGCAAAGAGTCATACTTCTGGAAGGAGCTGGGCCACTCTGGGAGAAACTCAGGTGCCGAGGAGACAGAGAGCTGGAGGTCCCCTTGAGTCTTCCAGCAGAGGGGACGAGGTGGGTTGGAACATGCAGGTGGGGCTAGGTGGTCCCTCTCTGCCCACAGGCACTCACAAGAGAGGGTCCTCCAGAGGTCAGCTGCCAGAGGTACTATCTGAAGACCCGCGTGCTTGGGGGAAGAGGAAAGGGACTCCCCTGCAGGGTGGGAGCCTCCCGGGACCAGCTGGGTGAGACTTCTAGCTGGTGGAGAGACAGCAGCCAGGGCATCAGGGGCTGGGGGCCAGGGTTTCATTCTGGCTCTGCTACTCTGTGCCATGAAACCACAGAGCTGAAAACAACTTTACAACTCAGCTGGCCCAATCTATTCATTCTGCAGATGAAGCCTGGAGGGGGAAGAAACTTGTCCAGAAGCACACAGCTGGTGGATGAAGTTGAACTGTAGGATTTCTAAATTCTCTTTGGTTCCAGGAGTCCAGGGGCTTTTGATGGGAGTCGCCACAGGACGAAGTGGCGGTGAGGATGCGTGCCAGGGCAGGGTCTGGAGATCTGGCGTGCTTACCCAGGTTGGGGGCTCCTTCAGCTCAATCCTGACGTGGGCCTTGCGGTTCTTGTACACAAACTCCATCAGCTTCTCGGCATCCTTACCCCAGATCAACACCACCGGCCAAGTCAGCCCCAGGGGCTGCTGCAGCTGCAGGAGAGAAAGTGCCCGCAAGGGCTGCTGTGTCCTGACTTGTCTTTCCACAGGTGACTTTATCTCCCTCCATCCAGCTCCCTCCTCAAACACCCCAATGTCCCGGGGTACCTGCTCAGCAGCAGCTCGATCCTCCGTGATGTCAAAAAGGACGGCGCTGGCTCCTCGCTCCCCCGCCATCCGGGCCTGCAGAGACACACAGCAGAGGTCCCGCTGGGGTCAGGGGAGGACACAGCCCACCCATGCCCTGATCCAACCCTCACACGTCTATCCCTTCCTAGGACGTTGCACACACCGCATCTCTGCACACTCCTCTATGACACATGCCAGAAGGCAGTGGGACGAGGATCCCTGTCCTGCCCTGAGCTCACCCAGCTCCCACTGCCTTCAACAACATTCAATTCTTCCTTTTGTAATCAAATAAACCCTTAACAAGGATTTAGTAGGTGTCAGGTAGTGGACTAGACTCTAGAGCTAAGGACAAATAAGACATCTCCCTGCCCTCAAAGTACCACAGGTCTGCCTTCACCAAGAGCTGTGAGAACAGAAAGCAGGGAATGACCAGCACCCCCAGTGGTGGGGAAGGGTGACCAGTCCCCAGTACAGAGAGGGAGAAGGGGAGAAAAGACAGATGGAGAGCTCCTTCAGAATAGAGCTGGGCTTTCCAAGGTCCAACCCTGCCTGACGAGAGGAGCCTGCAGGGCATCCCCCAGAGGCCTGGGACCCTGCTGCCACCCAAGGTCTCCGTGGCAGAGCCCCAGGCTCAGCCTGTTCCTTGGTGTATCTCTCCCTGCCACACTCTAGTTTGTCAACACGTTTCCTGGCTCCAATTCAAGGACTTAATGGGGTCCCTGTCCAGTGTTCTGTCCCTGCGCCCCCTCCCTGAGGTGGCACTGGAGACTCAGTGGGGAGGAACCTGAGGGGCTGTTCCCACAAGGGCACAACTGTGCATGCGTGCTCGCCAAGGCTCCAAGAGCAGGCGCGGGGCAGCAGAATCTAGCCAGGCAGGCAGAGCAGAGCAGAGCCAAAAAGAGAAAAAAGGCAGGAATCTAGCAGCTCTGGGTGTGGGGTAAGAGACAGGAGATAAGAGCAAGGGCTGGGTGGAAGCATAAGGGCAAAGGAGCAAGACAGATGCTACCTTGCCTCGGCGTCGGGCCGCCCTGCCCAGCACCGCCACTCGCCAGCCTTTCTCCCCAAAGCCCAGGCTCATCCTGTAAGGGTATCAGGCTGGGATCTCGTGACCCTGGGGGCCTGCTGAGTCTTTGGGGCTGGGCTGCAGCACCGAAGGAGTTAATCCCTCTGCCAGCAGCGGTGGCAGCAGAGGAGCCTACTTACACGCTCAGGCCTTTGATCTCTGCTTTCCTTCCCTGGGGAGAGCCTGTCTGGGCAGGTCTCCTGCCTGGCAGGCCCAGGGAGCGGCTCCTGGCTCCTGCTCCTCACTCCCCAGGAGGCAGCAGGGACCAGGGGGCCCCTCAGAACAGCCTACAGGCAGGGGAGCCCTGGAAGGTGGTGCAGACACTCTAGTGAGGCCCTGTTTGGGGTCAGGAGGGTGACTTTCCCCCTTCCTCCCTCCCTGAGTTGCTGAGGAGCCTGGCTGGACCCCTGAGCAGCACCCAGGCCCAGCCCAGGCCCAGGCTCGCCAACCTAACTGACTGGAAGCTCACAGGACTCCAGAATGGGGTCGCTGAAGAAATTAAGAGGTCTCGGCCCTCGGTGTCCTCCTGCCTGCTTACTCCCAGGAAGTCCAGCCCAACTGGGGGACCCCAGACAAAGAGAAGCTCTCCAGGCTTCAGAAACCCCCAAGCCAGGGTACAGGAGCAGCCCCAGAGGACAAGGAGAGGGGCTCCCACTGCTAATGTCACAGTCTAGGACTTGGCCAAGGCACGGGGAGGTCACCCCAGTAGTGAAAGATTTGACTCCTGGATCTTGCACGCTGCCAAGGCCTCATGTTTCTCATGCCCAGATTGAGACCCTACACCCAACCCAGCCTGGAAGAGCATGAGGGAAGGGCACAGTCTTCCTTCTCCAGAGATTTTCTTACTTTCCCCAGCCCCCCTCTCTTTGAAGGATTGGGGTAGGAACAGTGGAAAGTAATTACCCTGATGTTCAAACACCCCAGCCCATTACAGCCCATAATTACAAAGTTGTAAAAGAGATCAAAGAGAGCATACTGGCCAACAGGGGAAACAAACAGGACTTTCAGGCAGTGGGTACCTGTGTCCAGAGTTCTAGGAATCAAACAGCAAGACTTGGGGCCAGATGGCAGCCCACACTCCAGTCTATCTGCACCCAAGGAAATGGGAGAGAGGGAAAGAAGCACTTCTTCGGAGACTGGAATCTGGAAGGTAGAGAGGGTGGGTGGGCCCTCTGCATGGGAAGACTGTGCTCTAGAAAAACAATGCAGAGATCTCTTTGGGAGCTGCAAAGAATCAGCCAGCCCCTTTCTGGCTGCCCATGGCTTCTAGCCACCGGAATCAGTACACTGCGGGAACTGTACATGACCCTCTTCTCCTCTGTGGGCTGTAGGTTTCCTCTCTGGACACAGTGGCAGTCTCTGTCCTCTTCTCCTCATCAAAGACTGACCGAGTACCTACTGTGCCCAGGGCACCACGCCAGGGAAGGCCAGGCCCTCTAGAACAACTCATCATCTAGTTGTAGAGACAAGGCATATACATAACATAATGTTGATAACGTTCTAGAGTATAAATGAATGAAATAGGCCAATAGTTCCCAAATCTTTCTTCACTGCAGAAAGCCCTTCCCTCCACTCCCCCTACCACACACACACACACACACACACACACACGATCTGACACAAATCTTCAATACACAATAAAAGTGAGCTGAGTTTGAGGATGGGGGTGGAGTGAATAAAGAGCCTTGGTTTCCCCCTCCCCTAAAACCTGGTGAGTAAAGCAGACAGAGACCCTGGCAGTGTGCCAGAAGAGAGGGAGTTCTGCCCCTAATGGGCTAGCTGGGCTGGGCCAGGCAGGAAAGATTCAGTAGTAGAGGTGGAATTCACCTGGGCTCGAAAGCAAGGGTAGGAGGAAGGAGAAGGGATATAACCTATATTGAGACCCACTCTGCCCAGACTGCTCAGGTGTGAGTCCTGAATTTGCTACCAACTATTAGCTGTGAGACTTTGAGCGTGTCACTTAACTGCTGTATGCCTCAGTTTTCCTTTCTGTAAACTGGGGATAATAATGGGACCTACTTCACGGGGTTGTTTTGCAGACTATATAAATTAAACCACATAAAGCCTTATCATAGTACCTGGTACATAATTAGTGTCCCTTAAGTATTAGTTATTGTCATATCAGCTATTACTACAGGCTTTGGGTACATGAGTTCATTTACTCCTCACAACTCTGTAAGACAGTCCATCCAGTTTTGAGTTGAGAAAACCGAGGCTCAGAGAGACTGAACAACTTGCCCAGCAACACACAGCTGATAAGCAATGGAGGCAGGATTCCCACTCAGGACTTCAGTCTTCCAAGTGCCTGATTACCAGGTAGTGGTCTCTATGGTAAGAGAGGCAGGGCCTTGCCTCCAGAGCCAGCTCCTTCCACCAGGTAGAAGGCCATCGCTCTAGTCCAGGCATGAGGTGTTTAGGGCCTGGGTAATCACAAGGATGGCTGTGGAGTTGCTAATAGAGAAACAGAAACCAATTTGGATGACTAGATAGGCAGGGGTCGGGGGATGGGGGGCAGTGACAGGAATGGAAGAGTCCAGAAAAATTATGGTGAGGGTTTCAGAGAAGATCAAGAGAGGTGCCAATGAGAGAAAATACCCAATCTTGTTAACTATAAAAGCATGGGATGATGATGAGAATAGTAATAATTGTGATCATTTATTGAGTGATTCCTATGTGCTTGGCATGGGGCTAAGAGCTTCTATCTGCACTGTCTCATTAAATCCTCATAACTATTTTATGATGTAAGTCCCATTATTATTCCGCTTTTACAGATGAGGAAACAAGAGGCCCAGAGAGGTGAGCTAAAATGTCCAGGTCACACTGAGGGGCAGTGGAGATGCCAGGCTTCAGGCCCAGGGCTGACCAGCTCAAGAACCCAAGCTCTGTTGATGGTGATGACACCACTAATACTAATAGATATTCCTGAGCAGAGCTGATTGAAGTCAGCAGTTTTCAAGCTTTTATCGCTAAAACCCACCTTTCCCCTATGCCTCCCATAAGCCATATATTTTTTATCTTTTAATTATCTTTAAAGATTTTATTTATTTATTTATTTGAGATAGAGAGCGAGAGAGAGCATGAGCAGGGAAGGGGCAGAGGGAGAGGGAGAAGCAGACTCCCCGCTGAGCAGGGAGCCTGATGCGGGACTGGATCCAAGGACCCTGGATCATGACCTGAGCCAAAGGCAGACATTTAACCGACTGAACCACCCAGGCACCCCAGCCATATATTTCTTTTTAATGTTTTACCAAACTAACTGCATTTATTATGTACAATTTATTTTCCTATGAGATAACTTGTAACCAAAAGCAACAAATATTTTAGTTAAACTTGTGAGACTTATGAAATCTTGGAAGTAGCTCAGAGACCTCCATTACTACCTTCACAAACCTCCTTTGGGCCAGGAGACCCCAGGTAGGAGCTGCTCGGTGAGGTCAAAGGATGAGGCCTGAGGGAAGCCTTGCACCTGACCCGCTGTAGAACTCCCAGGGCGAGCTCGCCCCCAGAGACGAGGAGAAGCCCTGCCCCCAGAGGCGAGGAGAGGCCCCGCCCACAGAGGCGAGGAGAGGCCCCGCCCACAGAGGCGAGGAGAGGCCCCGCCCACAGAGGCGAGGAGAGGCCCCGCCCACAGAGGCGAGGAGAGGCCCCGCCCACAGAGGCGAGGGAGAAGCCCCATATGAAGAAGCCGAGGAGCGCGTGCGGGGACAGGAAGCATGAGTGGCGACCGCAAAGGCTGTGGAAGAAAAACAAGTCCCAGAGCAGCAGCCAAGGCACTTCTTCTGAACCCCTAATGGTTTTTTGCTTCTGTGTTTGTTTTAGCTCAGGCACTATCTGGTACTTGACATACATCATTTTTATCCTCACAATGATCACTGGGGTAGAAAATAAAAGCCCCATTTTATGGCGGAGGAAACAAAGGCGCAATATGGTAAAGTGCCTCAAAGAGCACCGACCATCTGCTCCTTGACTTGCGAGCCTCTGGGCACGTGCCTTATTTCTCCCCCCGAAGTGTGCTCCTCCAAGGGCCAGAAGGAAACCTCCCGCGTGGAGGGCATCCTGCCGTGGCCCGGTGTTCCCAGGTATGGGGAATCATACACTGCTCTAGAAGAACAGCAGAGCTTTTCTGAGCCCTTCTTCCTCCATCTCTCTCCCCGCCCCCACCTCGGCATCTCACACACAGGCACGCACGCACACTCTCTGCCCTCACACTCATACTACCAAACACTAGGCACTCATCTACCAAATGAATAAATGAATGACATCTGCCCATATCCTGTAAAGCAAGGGAAGTGAAATAGCCAAAAGCAGGGTAACTTCAAAATTCTGCCATTAAGGACCCACACAGTCTTTTTTTTTTTTTTTTAAGATTTATTTTTTGGGGGGGGCAGAGGGAGAGAGAATCCTGAAGCAGACTCCTCACTGAGCACGGAGCCCAATGAAGGGGGGGCTCCACGTGGGGCTTGATCTCACCACCCCAAGAACATGACCTGCGCTGAAACCAAGAATCGGCCACTTAACGAGTCACCCTGGTGCCCCAAGACCCACACAGTCTTGCATAGAAACCATGCTCTTCCCTCTTCCAGGTGGGTCCTGGCCCCCATTTCCCACATCCCCACGTGGCCCCCTTCTGCATCAGCACGGCCAGCCTGGCAGAGTATCTTCACCCACAGGGCACCTGGGTGGCTCAGTCCGTAAGAGTCTGCCTTCGGCTCAGGTCATGATCCTGGAGTCCTGGGATCAAACCCCACATGGGGCTCCCTGCTCGGCAGGAAGCCTGCTTCTCCCTCTCCCACTCCCCCTGCTTGTATTCCCTCTCTCGCTGTGTCTGTCTCTGTCAAATAAGTAAATAAAATCTTTAAACGAAAAAAATAAAAGGGGGCGCCTGGATGGCTCAGTCGTTAAGCGTCTGCCTTCAGCTCGGGTCATGATCCCAGGGTCCTGGGATCGAGCCCCCCATCAGGCTCCCTGCTCCGCGGGAAGCCTGCTTCTCCCTCTCCCACTCCCCCTGCTTGTGTTCCTGATCTCGCTCTCTCTCTCTGTCGAATAAATAAATAACATCTTTAAAAAAAAAAAAAGAATTTCTTCACCCACGTGTGGGGCCACATCCAGAATCCCGTCCACAACCCTGCCCCCCTTGGTGGGCTCGCAGAAGAATGCAGGCTGTTTTCTTGGGACTCCTGGCTCAGGAAGCAGACCTCAGGAGGATCAGGAAACCCCCAGGGGGATCTGGGCCTGAGCACAATGAGCAGGTGCACCGGCTAGGGCTGGGGACCGTCAGCTTCCTCTTTTACCACACTGGGGAGCTGGACCCCTTGCCCCACGTCGACCTGAGTCTGCCGCACAGAATCTAACTACACTCTGGCTTAGGTCACCATGAGAATCTTCTCATATACATTCAGTGTTCCCAGCCCGAATGGGAGGCAACAGGGCAGGGAGATTAAAAGCCCAGGTTTGGGAACTAGACAAGGCTTAGGTCAAATCCCAGCTCCACCCCTTCCTAGCTATGTAACTCTTGCAAGTTACTTAGTTTTTTCTTTCTTTCTTTCTTTTTTTTTTTTTAAGTTTCCTTATTCTTTTAGTCATCTCTACACCCAAGGTGGGGCTCGAACTCACAACCCTGAGATCAAGAGTTGCATGCTCCACTGACTGAGCCAGCCAGGCGCCCCAGTTACTTCAGTTTTCTGACCCTCACTTGTCTCACATGTCAAATAGAGAATAAAAATGTCTAGCTTTCCTGATTGTTGCGCAAAGTAAATGAGAGTATCTGTCCCACCTGGCCCACAGTCAGAGCACAGAGAACAGTAAGTAACGTTAGAGCAGGGATCACAAATGCACATGTTCACAGGGCCTCTGAGGTAGCAGGCCAGGGAGGAGCACGGCAAAGGGGAGAACCCAGGTGCGGGGCGGGGGGGGGGGGAGGGCAGCTGCTGCCAGCCCCAGCCAGCTGTGCCCCATGGAAATGCAGAGCCCCCCATTTGCCATCTTGGAGGAAGAATGTGAACTGTTTACAGATAGGGCAACAGCTTCTGTTTCTGCTATTCTTGCATATGTTCAGTTAATATTTCTGAGAGGTGGAAAAGCCCTTCAGCTGACCCCTTTTTGCTCTGATGCTGGGCAGGAGAAGGGGTCTAGGAACTTCCAGGTGATGGGGAAGGTTATGGGGCGGGGAGCATGCCCTAGATGACAGTCAGAGGTTCTGCTGGTAGATAGTGGTTGGTGGGGAAAGGACGGGGGCCTGAATTTCCACCCCTCTCAGACCCATCATGAGTTAGGAAAACCTGAGTGAACTGGGCACATCACTGCTAGGCGACAAGGGGACAGAGAACAAAGGGGCCTCTCGTGGCCTGGATCTGGGTGAAGTTCAGAGTGTGTGTGGGGGTCAGGTGTGAACCCACCTTGCTGGCCAGGGACAGGCAGGGGCGGGGGGCCCGTTGGGGACTCTCCAGCTTGACGATGCTGATGAATCCAGGCTCCAGATTGTCGTCATCACTGGCATTGCACAGGTACAGGGGGTGGGACTGCAGAGAGAGGGAGAGAGAAAGAGAGGTTAGGGAGGCTCTAGGGGGTAGCAGGAAGTGGTGGGAGCCAAGCACTTGCCCACTGTTCCAGGCAAGGACCAAGCAGGTCTCATAGTGCTATGAAGGAGTGGGTCTTCTTATCTGATGGCCTCACAGGAAGCTAGTAACCATCAGGTGTCGTTTCAGGGGTGCCAGGGCCAAGAATACGTGGAGGTGGGGGGCAGGAGGGGTGCCCAAAAGGGGGACCTCCATGAAGAGTCTGCTGCAAAGCTCCTCCAACAACCCTCACACTGGCCCAGCCTCTCTCACCTCCTACTTCTTCCACGTGCTCCAAAGCCCCAGGCTAAGAGCCCACGTCAGTACCTTCAGAATCTTGCCTTCCCTCCATGCCCTCCCAGGGCAGTTCTGGGTGCTACCAGTGCCTCCTGCCTTCTCGGGGTGCCCCTGAGATCCTCATCTCTCACGTGGCTTGGGTCTTCTCACTTGGTGCTGCCCCTTTCCTCTCAATATCTCCCTTTGCCCCTGCCGTGGGCCCAACCTGAGATGAAGCAGGGCACGGGAAGGGAGAAGACCCTACTTGCGGATGAGGCTTGGCCAACAGCCTTAAACGTCACACTTACTGGGAGCTTGTCCTGTCCTCAGGAATGATGCAGTGGCGAGGAGCCAGCCCAGCACCTCTGCTCTGAGGGTGTGGCAGGGCCAGTCCAGGACCCTGTGCCCCTAGCCCAGTCGGTGTGGAGAAATGACTCAGGGGCGAGGGGGCCCGATGTGTGCTGACAGACCAGAGGATCCCCTCTGCAGAGGGACAGGAGTGCCTTTCTGTATACTCGCTTGTCATTCAAGGTGACTCAAACGCCCACTTGAATCTAATTTTCCCAGGGTGCTGTGAGAACAAAGTATGATTTATTTGGCCCTAGATAATGCTATGGGCTAGAGGTTCCTACGTGGTGGAAACCCAGTGTATGCTGCAAGAAAGGGGATTTTGTATGAGGGAGGTGCCCATACTTCCCTCTCTCCTGCTGCTGCAGTCTAAAGGACTTCCAGAAAGAACCATCAGAGGAACCAGACAGCATTTTGAATTTATGAGGATGTTCTGAAGATGCCAATGCCGATGATGGATTTAAGAGCGCGGTGACTTTTTGAGGACACTTTCATGCTATTTATTCTCACTGTGTTCCTGCAGTCCCCTGAACATAGTGGGTTCTCAAACACACACACCACCTTGCTTTGAAGTCTAGCCTTGTGAATACACATCTTCCGCCAGGCGGTGTTGAGATGAGAGTGCCATTCTTGCTCCTAGAATTTAAGGAGTACTAGTCTTGTGGTGACCGAAGTTTAGTGTGGGAGAAAAATTACACACATCCCCCCACCAGCCCCCAAAAAAGTCCAGGGCCCAGGTTGTTCTCACTTCAGTGAGTCTGTACCCCTGTCTCAGCAAGTCCCATGAGTCTGTCTGTCTGCCCATTTGCCCAACCAGGCATCCCTTCATCTCTTCATTCTACCAACACTGAAGGCCTCCTTGGTGCCAGGCACTGTACGATCCATGGGGGAGTCAACAATAAGTAAGATAGAATCTTTGCCTTAGAGAAGCCCAGAAGACAAGTGTACAAACACATTGTATTGTGATGTTATGACGCAGGTTCATTCAAGGGCCTGTGGGAGGGCAGAGTGACTTCAGTGCTCCCTTGGGTACTGAATAGGTATGTGCTCACCCGCTGGATCCCCAGGAAGGGGGAAGGTACATTCCTGGCAGAGGAAGCAGCCTGTGCCCAGGCACGGAGGCACCGGCAGGGGGCTGGGAGGGACAGCAGGCAGTTAGGTCTGGTGGGGAAGGGAAGGCAGGAGATGAGGCTGGAAAGGTCAGCAAGCACCAGACCAAGGAGCAGAAACTGCAGATTTGCATTTGAGAAGGAGCTCCCAGGTGCTGATAGAAGACTGTCTGGTGTGGTGAGCGGGCAGAAGTCAGTTATCCCAACAGAACAAAAGGTGGCGGATCCTCCTTCAGGAACGACAAATTGCAGCCATGGGCGTCTACTGCTTTGCTTGCTCCCCTACCACGACCCATGGTCAGCTTTCTTCAGATAATTCCAACACGCCTCTCACTGGCCAGGGAGTCAACTGAGGGGGACAGTCACCTCAGAGAAGAGTTGTTTTTAGAGAAAGATGTGCAAATATTTAACCACCACTCTGCCCCCAGACCTCCGCAGAGGGAACCAGCATATACAAAGCAGTGCTATATTGTAGGAAGCCTCTGATGAGATGCAGGAGAAAAAACCTAGTGTCAGAGTCACCAGACTTGTCTGGTCCTGAACGAAAAGCTATGGAAGAGGGAAGGGGAGGAAATTAGCCATTATGCCTCTTGCATACCAGGCCCTCTAGATGTTATCTCACTATGAGGTAGCTGTGATCATCCCCATCTAAAGAAGAGAATGAAGCTTGAGGCACAGGGAAGTGAAGGTCACACAAGATTAGAACCCAGCTCTATCTGACTCCAGCCTCTGGAGTCATGTTAACTCCAAATGAACACAGAGTCAGCCCTCCACTGTCCATGCTAATGATGATGATGATAATGCTAGAAACAACTGTCTCCATTTTAAAGATGAGGAAGGGCGCCTGGGTGGCTCAGATGGTTAAGCGTCTGCCTTCGGCTCAGGTCATGGTCCCAGGGTCCTGGGATCGAGTCCCGCATCGGGCTCCCTGCTCCTTGGGAGCCTGCTTCTCCCTCTGCCTCTCTCTCTCTCTCTCTCTCTCTCTCTGTGTCTCTCATGAATAAATAAAATCTTTAAAAAAAAAAAAACTTTCTTTAAAAAAATAAAAAATAAAAAAAAATAAAGATGAGGAAACTGAGGTATTAAGTGGTTAAGTAACCAGCAAGGAAGAAATCAAACTTTCACTATTTGCAGATGACATGATACTATATATAGAAAACCCAAAAGACTCCTCCAAAAATCTGCTAGAACTGATACACGAATTCAATGAAGTCACAGGATACAAAATCAACGTACAGAAATCTGTTGCATTTCTATACACCAATAATGAAGCAGCAGAAAGAAAAATTAAGAAATCAATCCCATTTGGGGCAACTGGGTGGCTCAGTCAGTTGGGCGTCTGCCTTAGGCTCAGGTCATGATCCCAGGGTCCTGGGATCCTGTTTCTCCTCTGCCCCTGCTCGTGCTCTTTCTCTCAAATAAATAAAGTCTTTAAAAATAAAAAAAGAAATCAATCCCATTTACAACTGCACCAAAACGAACAAGATACCTAAGAATAAACCTAACCAAAGAAGTGAAAAAGACCTGTACTCTGAAAACTATAAAATGCTGGTGAAAGAAACTGAAGATGACACAAAGAAATGGAAAGACATTTGTTCATGGATTGAAAGGACAAGTATTGTTAAGATGTCTATACTACCCAAAGCAATCTACAGATTCATTTATTCTTTTTTAAAGATTTATTTATTTGACAGAGAGAAAAAGTGCACAAGCAGGGGGGAGGGGCAGAGGGAGAGGGAGAAGCAGGCTCCCCACTGAGCAGGGAGCTCAATGTGGGACTGGATCCCAGGACCCTGAGATCATGACCCAAGCCAAAGGCAGACACTTAACGGACTGACCCACCCAGGTGCCCCAGCAATCTATAGATTTAATGCAATCCATATCAAAATACCACCAGCATTTTTCACAGAGCTAAACAAACAATCCTAAAATTTGTATGGAACCACAGAAGACCCCAAATAGCCAAAGCAATCTTGAAAAAGAAAAACAAAGCTGGAGGCATCACAATTTTGGACTTCAAGTTATATTACAAAGCTGTAGTCACCAAAACAGTATGGTACTGGCACAAAAAACAGGCTCATAGATCAATGGATCAGAATAGAAAACCCAGAAATGAACCCACAACTATATGGCCAATTAATCTTCAACAAAGCAGGAAAGAATATCCAATGGGGGAAAGGAATGTTTCTTCAACAAATGGTGTTGGGAAAACTGGACAGCAACATGCAGAAGAATGAAACTGGACCACTTTCTTACACCATACACAAAAGTAAATTCAAAATGGTTTACAGACCTAAATGTGAGACCTGAAATTATAAGAATCCTAGAAGAGAGCACAGACAGTAACTTCTTTGACATCGGGCACAGCAACTTCTTTCTAGATATGTCTCCTGAGGCAAGGGAAACAAAATAAAAAATAAACTGTTGGGACTACATCAAAATAAAAACTTCTGCACAGTGAAGGAAACAATCAACAAAACTAAAAGGCAACCTACAGAATGGGAGAAGATACTTGCAAATGACATATCTGATAAAGGGTTGGTATCCAAAATATATAAAGAATTTCTAAGAGAAAGAGAGAGAGAAACAAACCATAAGAGACTCTTAGAGAACAAACTGCGGGCTGATGGAGGGAGGTGGGTGGGGATGGGCTAGATGGGGGATGGGCATTAAGGAGGGCACTTGTTGTGATGAGCACTGGGTGTTGTATATAAGTGATGAATCACTGAATTCTACTCCTGAAACCAATATTGCACTGTGTGTGGATTAACTAGAATTTAAATAAAAATTTGAAGGAAAAAAAATTTATACAACTCCACATCCAAAAAAATGAATAATCCAATTAAAAAAATAGAAGACATAAATAGATATTTTTCCAAAGAAGATATACAGATGGCCAACAGACACATGAAAAGATGCTCGTCATCACTCATCAGGGAAATGTAAACCAAAACTACAATGAGATATCACCTCACACCTGTGAGAATGGCTAAAATCAAGAACACAAGAAACAACAGGTGTTGGCAAGGATGTGGAGAAGGGAAGCCTCTTATACTGTTGGTGGGAATGCAAACTGTGCAGACACTGTGGAAAACAGTATGAAGGCTCCTCAAAAAATTAAAAATAGAATTACCCCACAATCAGCAATCGCACTACTAGGTATTTACCCAAAGAATACAAAAATACTAATTCAAAGGGATACATGCACCCTGATGTTTACAGCAGCATGAT